AAATAATTTTAAGTTATTAAATTTATTTGAATCATATATCTACATATAAGTTTATTGATAACCCCTCGATAATTTTTTAAAAACTACATCCTTCCGCTGATTCATCGTCGTTTATTTGTCCAATGCCTTCTGTACTCCAAGAGTCCGTCTTTTCGCAGTGTGCGGGCGAGGTTGACATATTTGTTGTAAAGCATACCTCGTGCCCGGATATGACCCAAACGTGGCATATAAAAAGTATCCTGCGGAAAAACGAATGCTTGTAAGAAACTTAATACAGTTTCACTCAACAGCTATGTACACACATACATATGTATGTGTTAGCATATGTATATGTGTACCTACCGACGTACTTACATCGCTCTCGTTTGGGAATAGCTGCAGCAGCTGCTTGTTCATGCCGTGGAAATCATGTACAGACATATCCATTCGCTTGTCCAGCGCCGCAGAAATAATTATCTTAACCACTTTCTTGCGGTGGTGCATGTCGAGACATTTGTTCTCTTCATAGTATTCAATGGCATTCATACCTTCATAACAGCTTTTAAGCACCGATTTGACATCCTGAAAAAGTGCATACAATTCGTATAAAGGTTCACGTAAACGATGAGAATAATTTTATTGAGGACAGCAATCCCTGACTCTCGTAGAGAAAATAGCTATTCTCATTAATAATTAGAGGGTGCGGAGTTTCATGCATCTTGAGTGAGGGTGAGGATCACGAGATCCTTTACAAATACATACACATGTATATAATACATACATACATTAGGGCAGGTCGAAAGAAACAATATATTTGATTAGAAAATTGTATAGGTCTTAAAAGGTGCTATTTTAAGTAAGTAAATCCCGTTTCTCTGTGACAGTATCTTCAGTCTGCGGAATGAGCTTGAAAAATTGAAGTAAGAGTCGGAATACCAATTTTTAAAATTTGGAATTGGGAAAATTAAAAGTAAGTAAAATCAATATTTTAATCAAGTACCTAATCTTTATTTCATACTTCGCATTATTAATTGATTAAAATATTTATTTAACTTGCTTTGAATTTGGCCAATTTTTTTTATGATTTTGTGATAGGAAATAACTTCGTTGTTAAAATTTTAAAAATTGGTATTCCCACTCTTATTTTAAAATTTTCAAGATTCAAGTTTTCTAGAATAGGGGATTAAAATAGCATCTTTTAAGACCTATACAATTTTCGTATCAAACGTTTTGTGTTTTTCGACCCGCCCTAATATACATATATACATACGTAGTTCTGTAAGTCTGTGAGATTATTTTCGTCTACCTACCAAGTGTCTTTTCGAAGTAGACGCCTTTTCAATTGGCGAGTCATCATATTTTGCATCGCTCATCATCGATGCAGTTTTGGAGTCACTATCTTCGTACACTTCGCTCTCTTTTGTAGGGTCGTCATACAGATTACTCGCGTGCTCATCTTCTAGAGTTATTTCTGGAAGTTCGTCTTTGATGGCAACTGTTGTATCCACTTGATCGCTGTTTAGTAAAATAACGTGATCGTCCTTCTTGATTTCTTTCTGTTGTCGCCAAGCCAAAAGATGTGATCGAAATATGGCACGGGGTCCAATTTTCGGTATTAGTTCACAGATGTCCTCATCCGTCAAATATTGGAATGCCACAGTGCAAACCTCTTGTTCTGCAGGTTTTATCATAAATAAAATCACAAATTCTGTATTACATTATCGTCATATTCTAAGTCATTACCTTTAAATTTAGTGCAGAGGTTTTGTAGGTTCCATGAGGACAGCAAGCTGAGCGCCTCGCCCAAATGGGGTTTCGCTATAAACGATAAAAAACAGTTGATTGAAGCTTTCATATGCAAATTAAGTGAACTTTTTCACATAAATGAAGACATTCTAAAATGGGTAAGTAAATATCAAAAACGCCAAAGGAGATCTTCAGTCGCTTACAAGTGCTATTAAGTTGGCTGAAGAGAAGAAAGTTGAAGCAAAGCATGTCTCCGATCGTCCGTTAATTCTTTGAATTAGATAACAGAGAGAAATAGGAGGGCATCTTGAACTTATTTTTAGGACATTTTGCTACAGGCTTAGTCGAATTTCCCCAATTGTGGTACGCGTCTTGGTGTCCTTACACAATTGAGGGATTTATAGTCTTAAAGCATAAACAGACGGCAGCGTTGATCCGGATCAACTCGGGAATTAACTTCAGTTGATCAGGATTAAGTCCGAGTTAATCCGGATCAAAGCTGCCGTCTGGGTAATAAATTAATAACGGTATCCTCCAAGTGTTCCTCATAAGAAGAGAATTCGTCATTCTTTCTTTTAAAAGTGGTCAAAGTCATTTCACATCTTTTGTGTTTAAATGATAATTTAACTGTAACTTCATCAACCAAAGGTAAAACGTTTATTAGTTTATGGCGATCGAAAATTTATTTTCAGACATCCAAATCTGACGTGGCAGATCATTGTCAGAGGAAAGTTTCTAATAAGGAATTGGTGTGCCATTAATCCTAAATATACGGATGTCGTTTTGCTCAGCGGGAGTTATGACTAACTCTTTCTCAGGGGATTTGCCGGAAGCTGCATGGCTAATGAATTGGCGAGCCAGGCTATCCTTGAGGTTATCTCTCCTGTTTCTTCCGTTGAGCTCTGAAAACCACCGCACAATGGCTCCAAATCCAAAAAAGCCGTCGAAAGTTTTAAATATTTTAGGCATTCATAATCGGCTTTGACGCAGTGACTGTATACTATGAGTAGGCGCGGGACTATAAGCTATTCCGTCCGATAAAGTTGCGCATGCTGAACGTTCTATTTAAAGAAACGGGTTGCGGCTAGCTGCGACAACTTCGAAAACGTTTGAGTTTTAAGATATTTTTACAAATTTCGCAAATCTAACATTTATAATTCTCGGCTCGGTTTTTATCGACACTGCCGAGGAACTCCCGAGGTGGTCATCAGCTGCCTAAATTTTAGGCGACTTAATTTTGAGAAGTTTAAAGAATCTGATCAGATCTCAGCTCAGCTAGTTTCCTATGGGAAAAATAAACGGGTGCGCCACCTCTTGGAATTATCGTAGAGAGGGCAGATTGAAATGTGTCATGTACATACGGATACTTGGGCGGCCGCTGTGGTGTATTGGTTAGCAGTGCGCGCTACCACTCCGCAGAGCCTGGGTTTTTTTTCTAATAGCGGTCGCCTTTGGGCAGGCAATGGAAAACCTCAGAGTGTATTCCTGCCGTGAAAAACAGCTTCTCATAAAAATAAAATCGCTCTTCGGAGTCGGCGTAAAATTGTATGTCCCTCCCCTTTTTGTGACACCACGCACGCCACAAATCGGAGGAGAAGGTCGGCCAAACACTAACATAGTATGTGTAAACGGCAATCTATTATTACTATTATTACATAATGATATGTATGTGAAAAATAGGTATGTGTCAGTTTGACCAATTTTTGGCTCTTTTTATTTGTTTATCAATTGTGTGTAAAATTATAGCTCGATTTATTTAAAGAAATAGTAAAAGTACTAAAATCGCTAGAAAAAGCATTACTTAATTTTTACTCTTACGGCTCATTATACAGGCATAGTCAAAATTACTTTCTGTGTAATTACATAATTTTTCCACGTTTGCTAAAATGCCACAAAGATTTAATCACGGATTTGTTTTAATAGCTTTCATTAAGTTTTCCTTCCCCCAAACTTCGACACCAGTCTTTCCAGAATTACAAATTGAGCGCCTCTTTACACCAAGAGATAGCCGTCGAAATTTACCACCGTGGAAAGATAATCATTACTTCCTATATGCTGCGTAAATACTTTTGACGCCAAAAAGTGTGTAAATACTTTAGACGACTTAGAACGAATATTCAAATGTTATCTTTGAATTCAAATACATATATGGTTAATATCTTAAATTTTTCGCTTGCAATTGTATGAAGACATTTTCTAAAACAATTTAAAGGCAACAAAAAAAAAATGTTGCACTTTGCGTAAATAATTTTGACTATAGGGTCGGTTATGCAAGACTTCTAGACTGCCTGTTAAAGATAACCAGTGCTTTGACTGCCTGTAAAATTTTTCGCTCACTTGCTCACCGGCAATCGTTAAAAAGTCGATAAAGGAGACCGGCCGTCAACTTTTAACATAAAGCCACATTTCAAAGTTTGTACAAAAATTAAAAATTTATTAAGTTACTTGAATAAATGCAATCAATAAACATACCTACATATATAAAATACATAGGTACATACATATGTACGTATGTATCAATGTGTTGTGCGGTGATGAGAACAATAACAACAATGTAGCAACAATGTATATACGAATTAACAATTGATAACTAATCTGTTTGCATTTCTTTTTAGTTTATAAAACATAGCACCGAATACTTACATACATGCACATATAGGTACACACATTTATACTAAATATGTGTGCACATACAAATATTTAAGTTGTAGATACATACATACATACATATATAGAATATATTTATGTATGCACGTGCCGGGTAAATGTGGGAACAGTTGTTGTATTGCAAAAAGTTGTTTTATTGTTTTCGAGTTGCTTGCTAACAACTGCGCATGAAGCGATTATTTTGTTGTAAAATTGATACAGATATGTATGTATGTATGTTCATATGTTCATATGAAGTACATATGCACAGAACTTATGATTGAAAATACATATGTATAGATATGCGCTTCAAGAGAATAATAACAATTTATTGAATCTACTTACTCACCTTCTTTATCCACATCTTGCATTGTTAACAAATATTTATTTCTATGATAAACCAAAAGTATGTTTTTTACTATGAAAAACACAGAACTGATATCGCTGCTCTTCTTATCTAACCGTTTTCCCCAACAAAAATTACACCTCCAACACACTTCGAGCTGTTGTCGAATGTTCACAGAACGAC